ATTCTCTTGTCCTTTTTTGTTCAACCTACCCAGTTGATTAGGCAATTAAATATTTTTTTTTGCTCGCGGATTCACCGCAACATTAAATCGATACCATCTTCAAAATTTAAGTCCAAGTGTTTCGTATTGTTATTATTGTTGTAATAAATATAATGAGGAATAGGAAAAAAATCTCTTTATTCTTTCTCGTCAACGGTTTTTTAAGCTCACAATTTAAAATGAATCCCGAGACATTATCTCGGGATTAGGCCTCAGGCATCAACACAATAATTTAAATACAACTTAGTAATAGTTGATCCTTAAAGCAATTTATACATTTTACTCTCTTCTCTTGTTTTTTTTTTTTTTTTTTTTTTTTTTCCCCTGGTAAATAATGCTCGCCGCATTCAGTATTCTGTGTCATGAACATACTCTCATCTCATCTTATATTAAACTTTCTTCTATGGCATACTAATGAAGGTGATAGGACATTCAATGCTACCCTACTGTACTACTACTATTATTCATACATGCGTGTAATTGATCATCATCATACTTTACACTGGTACACGTTGAATTAGCGATTTACTGAACTTTTAATTTTTCGAAAATCATTTCATCCTTACTTTCACGCTTTCGAATAATCAAAACTGATTTTACGCCGATTCATTCAAATTTTTAATCCTAAATCTTCATTGTTGTGGAGTCATAATCTTTTTCTTCTCAACAATGATTTAATCACAAGCACTTTTATTTGTATACGATCACTATTATTATTCAAAACTCTTTGTAGCTTTGCTCATAGTTGTTGTTGTTGTTGTTTATTTTACTCTTTGTCTTGTAGTTTTCTGTTTTGTTAGGCACGTGAGTTTAATGGGTTGGAAATCCGTAGTTTACATTACAGTGATTGAGAATGCACGACTGACCTAGTTAACATTCTCCTTTAATTCTTATTTATTTATTTTATCATCGGTATTATTATTGGTGCTATCATTATTATATTTATTAATGTACACATATGTATACTTTCTTCAACCTCCCTTGTATTTTGTATTTCATTCCTTCTCTCATTTCATGTGATGCATCATATCAATCGACGTTAATATTATATTAATCACAATTTAATGACAACAATTATCAACACAAGTAAATCGATGCGAAAAGTACTTGCATTGACAGTGTTTTCACTAGAGAAATTTAAACATAATATTATTTAAATGTGGGTGTGCAATTTCCCCAACACCCTGTATTTTCTATAAAATGTTTTATATATGATCTACTACCAGTTGTCAGTAATTGTAATGCGAAGTAATATAATGCGATGAGAAAGTAGCAAGATACAGAAGAAAAATTATAATGTGAAGAAGATGATAATAATGACGATGATGATGATGATGATGATGATGATGATGATGATGATGAGATGATGGTAGTGATACGAGCAAGAGATAAATGCACAAAGAGGGACATCAAAGGCTTTCCCAGGTGAAAAGTGGCCTTGGAAGAGAAAACTTAGATTAATCGTGTCGTGCACCTAATAACCCATATGAAGATTCATGGGTTCGGTGCAAATAATAATCTAAATGTAATATAATATTAGTTTGAGTTAAGATATGATGTACGGTTCAATTTAATCATAAGCCGCGGGGCAATAGCAACCTTATTAATATATGTTTGCAGTCTCTTTCTTATATTATATGAGCGAACTAATATAAGTAGGTATGGAGGTAAGGTCAAGGCTATTGCCAAGTGTTTACTCTTTACTCGTATTGGTACTGCTAAATCTATCCTCATTATTACTGGCATTCATTTCTTCGGAAGGACGTTTCGTATATCATCGCTTCAACTCTAGTCTATCATTAATTATTGAGCTTTCTCTAACTTTTTTTTGTTTACTTGTACTCTTTCTTTCTCTTGCTTTTACTTTAGGACTATTCTTATTGTAATGATGCCGTTTAATTCGCACGTTTCCGAGCGGCCGTACGCTAATGATACCTATGTACACGCTTCGATCAATCGCTTGTACGTGCATACTTTCTTATGACGTTCTAACCATTTTATAACTTAACATGCCAACATTTTTTTTGCTTCATCTTGTAATAAGTTAATTTATTTTATATTTATATTTCATAATTAGCAGAAACTACCAGTAGCTAATGACTAAAAATTTTATTTACTATTACACGAATTAAAGATATTTTTATTACATCCGAAAATTTTTGTTGTAGAAGTAACAATTCGTGTAATTTGGTAGATTAACTAAATTTTTTCTTCATAAACTTTTAACTATTCTGCAGCAAGATGGATTAAATTGTTGCTTATCGATATTTCAAAATTACTTATGTTACTCTATTTTAGGATATGATGGATTTTTAGTGGGTACTTTACTTAAAATTCAGCGAACGATTTATATGAAATGCTAAAATTCATCGCACGACTGCTCATGTTCGGAATTACGTATACGTGAAAAATAAAAAAAATATATATATATAAGTAAATAAATAAAAGATCAGGTTTGTATAAATATACATATATGTCATATATATATATATATGTATACTGAATGTGTGGGTCTCTGGTATACTTCATTCGTCAATTTAAATAACTGTACATACATATATACGTGTTCAAACAGTCGTAATGTATAACTGGGTGTTCAGTGAAACGAATGAGAGCTGATTTAATAGAAAATTTTTTGTTGCGAATCCTCAAAAAATAAAAAAATTCAGGAACTACGATTGTTAATTAAAAAAATGTTTGCTCCATAAATATTAATGAGCCATTTTCGACTTGTGAAAGGCTAAAAAGGAGTTAATAGAATAATTAATATGCATAACAATGACTCGGAGATTTCGTTAAAGTTTACTAATTATTACGGTTCGAAGATAACGTTGTAACTAATTATTACCGTTTGTAAGGTAGTATGGTAATAATTTGAAATTACCATAGAAACAAAAGTCCTGCCAGTAGTAAAATAGTAAAAAATAAAAAATAATAAAATAAGTGAGTATGCGAAACTCGATTGAAATTTCTCCGAGTTAACGGGCCTACTGTATAACTCTCTTGCAAACAACATATAAATGTATATATATAATGCATTGCTACGTAAAACTAACTGCGTAAGATTGTATTGAGGAAGCTGGGCTGGAAAAGACCATACGTACAGTAAGCTAGTGTAATACATACTATAAAATATATATATAAGCATGACCACCAAGAGTACAGCAGTCGGTCTGGGAGGTAGTTTTTCGCCCCAGTACTCCACTTACTACTTGCCACTTAACCGATCGCAACGATTTATGAGACAGGACTTAGCTCGTAAAGTTGACTTACCATTCGCTCTCTTTGATTACGCTCCAGCAAACGCCCTGCTTGGCACACATACCACTTACAATTAGTATCAGCATTTACACCCAAATTTATAAGCTCGTTATTGTCTGAAACGATATAAACAATACATTTTATTCATTTTAAATTGTAATACTAAAAAAAAAAAAAAAAAAAAAAAAAAAAAAAATCAGAATTCATAGATTATTATGAAACGATTGATTTACTAAAAGTCATTGACAGTGGGCTGTCTTTATTGAATAGGGTGAATTTTATTAAACTCGAGTCTCAAATAGTGTATAGAACGTACTGTACAGAAACGGCACTGAAATGTTAGACTTACTTCTGAGATGTCAAAGTCAGTTGACCTGGAATGTTAAAAAATTTAAGAGAATACTTTGCTGTGTTAGGATTTGAAAGTATACCTCGTGCGATCTTGCGGTCTTGGAACGTCATTTATATTATATAGCGGGACAATATCGCAGCACGAGGAAATGAGATCGGTATTGACGATAAGTCAGTACTGGAAATCACACTTCGTTGACCAGTTTTAAATATATACGGCTGGGTGAGCTCGAGTTGCTTATGTTTAATTGAAATTGTCATGATGATTTGATAAAAATAACCATTACTTTTTATTTTTGTTCAAGTACATACTGGTCAAATGAATCGCTAAAAGCTTTTAGCGTTATAATAATTCAAAGTTTGTTATTAAGATTGCTATCTTGACGGCCAATTGAATTCTCAAACTATTTGTCTTATCAAATGTCTGCTTCAAGTTCAGAAAAAATCTTTGTTAAACAAAAGATAATTAATTATCTCGGAACTTTATCAGTATTTAATTATCAAAAAATATGTAAGACGTGTTACTATATTAATAAAAACAACAATAACTATAAAAAAAATTTGCATATCAAATTCTAACATCGTCAGTTAGATGACGCCGATGACTATTAGAACTAAAAAGAGCTTGTTAAAAATTTTTTAATAATAAAACATCTTTAGAATAACTCTCAACTTAATAGATTCATTCATTTTACCGACACATATATATGCTATACACACAGTTACTTGTACATACAAACAATTCAAATAGTTATTCTTTCAAATAAGCTGATCATCGTGAGCAATTTGTCGATTTACCGAGTCATTCTCGCCCCCGGAATAACATAATTATTTTGTTGTTATTGTTATTACTTTTATTATCATTATTACATGATAAAAAATATTATATCTAAATTTTCATAGATCTTATTATTAATTACAATTTGTGACACTAAATATTTCAATAATTGAGGCTTAAACTTGAAACTTGCAAAGATCATTATCAGTAAAGTTTCTCGAACTTTGATTGTAAAGTCGTAAACTTGGAATTAACGTGAAGAATGTCTAGATATTTCTCATTCAGTAGATTAATTTTGCCGCGTAGTTAAATTTTTTGCGAATAATTATTTAGTTCAGGTTGGTCTTGTTTAATTTTTCATCAACGAAGCCTTGAGGGGATTTCTGTTAATGTTCAATCTTCTCTTCATGTCTCGAACAAAAAACTATACGATGATTATTTTCACATTCAGACACTCCCCTTTTAAATTCATCAACAAACTCTCAGCAAATATACAAGATCCTTCTATATACACATATATATTGAAGCGGAATATGCCGTATGGTGTGTAGTACTTAACTCTTGATCCGTGATGTTGATGGAACCAAATAAAAGACATGTGAGACAGAGACTGGACTTGAAGAAACACACTTCTCTTTACTCTTCGTCCGTAATGGATTCGACCCACCTTCTTTTGGGTATAATGTTACTTATATAATTATTCATTTATTCGCGGGTATACGTAACTCGGAAAGTGCATCTCAACACCACGAGTAAGCATTTAAGTTCGCTGACCTACGTATCGTACGATTGAATCTTTCTTTAATGCATCCTTTGTGTGTTCCCGTACATCCTCATTATACACTACGATATACTCAAACAAGATCAGAAAAAAAAATTAGTCTTCGTGGAAAAAAGTAAACTTTGGTGGTTAGTACATACCACCAAATGGTGGGAGGTTCACCGACCCGAACTTTTCAGATTAAATGCATCCAGGCGTATAACTTGTTATTTATATATACGTCTGTATGCATGTGCATCGTATATCAGAATCAACAGTAACTAAACCGGCCACCGTACCGGCAGTAACTGAAATCACGATATGATACTCACCCGAACAGTAATGCCTTTTATACAAATAATTGATTCATTTCTTTTTATTTTTTATTCACGCTCTTTATCAAAGCTTTTCTTGTTACAACTTCAATGGCTCTTATTTTTTATTTTACTTATTATCATATTTTACTGCACGATTAATTTAAAACACTTAAATTCGAAATGTGTTAACTGTTATTTTATGTGGATGATTAAAACGCGATTATTGATATCATTTAATTTTATTACTTCAATTTTATAAAATATTTTTGTTATTGAAATAAAAATAATTTATGATAGTTGTCTGTAAATATCATAAACTTGTCATGAGTGCGATATATTTAAATTAATGATAAGTTTAATTGCGTTTAAAAAATAATAAAAATGACTTGAGTACCGGTTTATGTTTAAAGGTTTTAAAAATAATTTATATGATCAAAAGTATAAATAAAACCTTTTATAATTCATTAAACTAAAATTAAAGCATTTTATACCTTTGTCACTATACTGTATGATGCAGTTAAATTTTATTTTTACGATGGCATTAATTTCATCTAAAATCATAACATAACATATCATAGTATTTTTATGCTGTAAACATACAAGAGAAGAGTTTATCGCGAAAATCCAAGGTTAAATTCAGTGATGATGATGATAGTACTTGTTGAGAATTTAATTAAGATATCCTGGTACTCTTGAGTTGAAATAGTCACGAGCATCGTACTGTCTTTATCAGAACTTTTATTTAAATTTTATCACACACAAATGTATAAATAAATTCTCTAAATATACAAGTGTTATTAAAGTATAAACGTAATGCTTTTAACATCTTGCGAATAAATAAAAACGAATTATTTACTGCAGATGTACGAATGCAATTAAGTATTCAAAAAACCCCAATTAACCTAATTCTAAATTAATTTAAAAATATGTCTCACCCGACTACCAATCTGTGAATTAATTAATTTTATTAAGTGATTTAATTAAACAATTCCGAGTAATTAAATCATTAAAATTGTTCAACAGTATCATTAGAAAAAAAATACATCATTTTTTTTTTAAATATATTAATTAACATCACATATTGTCTTGAGCGATAATAGCTGGTTGCATTTTTTAATTAAAAAATTCTCATTATTTTACTTGAACAAACCACTAGTATATTAATCATTAATTAATTTGTGTACGTGATTGAGGTCTAGGTCTATTAAAAAAAGAAATAAAAAATCAATTACTGTTAATTCGACAGTGGTATATTGCTAATGATCGTGAATGAATCAGAACAACCGGCAATATTTTTTTGTATACCGATTATAACGGCACTCGCGTTTCTATACCTTGTATTTAACAGTTTTCATTTTATTTATTCTCTTATTTATCCTATCGCTATATAAATTCTTACTCTTTTATTTTCTATTTTTATATCTATTATATACAACTCCTAGATTCTATTTATACATTTTAATCCCAACTATTTCAATTACCTTTTTATTAAAGCACTATTGATATTTTATATTTGTTAACTTGTATCTTAAATCCGTAATCTAAAATCCCTCGTATCTATAAAATTATTACTCTAATTATTATTTTTTTTTTATTTATTCTACAATCGATTTTTTAATAAAATTATTCATGTTTTTAATTTATAAATGCTATTAATTTTTAGCATTTCAAGATTGCTGAACTGAAACCAATAACGTCCCAATTACGATAATAAATTTCATTTATTTATATTTACGTTATTACGATACGAACGGTAAAATATTGATAATACGTTGGTACTTAACCATATAATTTTAACTGTATATGTATCCAAAAATTAAATATTTGAGAACCATCATCATAATTTAATACTCATTTTTTGTTTTTAAATACATTTTTTAATTTTTTATATTAATTTTTTTTTTTACAGAATTAGTCGGAGGTGCGTGTCCACGAATATGTCCTATTGGCGGAGAACCCGTATGCGGTAGCGACGGGGTCATATACGCTTCTCAGTGCGAAATGCGGAAGAAGATGTGCGGAAAAGGTATATACATAAAAGAGACACAAACGATCACTTGTTATATTTTACATTGTAAAAGAATGTAATAAGCTAGCTTAATGTAGTAATAGTAATATTAATGAAGTAAGTACTTGGTACTCTTAAACATTCACCTTGTAATTAGAATAATTGCATGGCCCTCAACTGTCTGCTCTGAGAATCCCAACGTCTGTAATATTAGAGATCTTCCGGTAGCTAGATGTTAAATTCAATTTATGGATGAATAAAAATTTTTTTTTTATTATCACACTCTAGCGTATAGTTATGTTACGATGAGATAGAATTTATGGATAACTACTCATTACAGCGGTGGTGTTATGAATTGAAGAAGTAATAAAAATAAATAACTCTAACTAGGTATTAATTATTGTTATTAGAATTATCTTAATTAGTAATTATTATTTATTACTTAATACCTTGTCTAGTTGGTGAGAAAAAAATGTATCTAATCTAACATATAATATTTAATTGTAGGGGTTACTGTAGCAACTGATAAAACAGCTTGTTTGCGATCATCGGGCAGCAAGTGCGAACATCGGTGTCCAGCTGATCAAGATCCTGTTTGTGGTACTGATGGACGTACTTATTTGAATAAGTGCATGCTGAGGGTGGAGGTTTGCAGGGTTGGAATAGAACTGTCTCATCTTGGGCCGTGTAATAATATATCTGCCCACCGCGAAAACTGTCCAGTCTCTTGTGATCAAGCGCCACTCGACGGACCGGTTTGCGGAAGTGATGGAAATGTCTACAAGTCTACATGTCAAATGAAAATTCTTACATGCAGGTAGATATTCTCGTATATTACATTAGTCGTTTAGATTATTTGTGTCACTGAAATACACTTTTAATTTAACTATTAATCTTGACATTTTAGATAAATATAAGCGCAAAAAAATAGTTATACCGTTCGTTATGTGACTTTAATTATCCTTTAATTAGATGGGTTAGTTATTTATCCTGTAACTGACAGACCAACATGTTTCGTTAAGTCAGTCTTGATTTGATATAATTTAATTTTATGATAATATCAATTTACTTCTTTTTATTGATTTTATTTTTCAATTAGACATTTCACGGAAAATTTTTTGTTAAAAGTGTACTTATAATTGATAATACTTGTTAATTATTAGCTGTTCATAAAAAAATATTTTTTTTCAAATTAAACAAATTAAAAATTTTCATACTGTCAATTAGTACTTTTTCTATGGCAAATTTTACAATTAGTAAAAATTGTAATGTATAGAGAAGAAAAAACTATTAGAAAAAAATATAAATTTTTAATTAACTGTAAGAGAATAATTATTTTGTTTCACATAATTATGATTGTAAAGGTAAACAATTGTTGCATTATTTATTGGGAGAAAAAGTGAAAAAATTGTTAAAATTTTATTATTAAAAAAAATGAAGTTATGATTTATATGGTATGATATTTTTATTTTTTAGACAAGGAGTTGTAAGGACTAACAAAAAGCACTGTCAGACAACGAGACATTGCCGAGAAACGTGCTGGCGGGGTGCCAAGCCAGCTTGCGGTAGCGACGGAATTCTCTACGCCAACACTTGTAAAATGCGAGCGAAAAATTGCGGGTAATAATTATTAACAAAGACTAAAACAAACCATATTTAAATATTTATACATTCTATCCTTTTTTTTTTTTTACTTATAACTCACATCACCCTCGAGTATAAAGGATAAACGTTAATTATAAGATTATAACCTTTATTGTACGCTCTAAAAATAATATATTTTTTAAACATTCTCTCCGTCCCTCGTTTCTGCTCTGTCTAATCGAACTTGAATAATTCATGAGCGCTAACGACGGTCGTTAACTCGGCTGCCGATCGCGATTAAAATGAGTGCGATCAAAAGTAAATTTTATTTAAAGCGTACACCGTTTTTATAAAGAAAATTATTTATAAATCTGCATGTACTTTAGTAATTTTTTTACTTTTATTATTTCAGTAAACACGTGTTCGAAGTGCCGATGTCCTTTTGTGTATCTCGAGAAAGAACTTCCGGAAGTGTCGGCAACGCTTGCCCGTTAGACTGCAAAGATGAGCCGGAGGTCCAAGTTTGCGGTTCTGATGGTAACATTTACAGAAACGAGTGCGAGTTGAAGATGCTTAATTGCGGGTAATTATTTTTTTACAGTTGATATTATAAAATTTATATGATTGATTAATCAAATAATTATGCAGTCACAGTTATCAATCAATTTTTTTTTATTTTTAAGAATTAATACCCAAAAATTAATTAAAAATTTTTTTTTCCAGTCAATCAAGGCGAAAAATAACAGTAGTGGACTTTGATAAATGTAAAGCACGTCTTATGAAGTGCTCAAAACAAATGCAAAAGTGTAGCGGCGATATTGATCCTGTTTGTGGTACTGATGCTTACACGTATCCCAATCAATGTCATCTTAATGTCGGGATTTGTATGTAAGTCAGGTTTTAGACATTTGCTACAACTAACTATACCACTTAACATCGTAATGTTATAATAACTGTGTAGAGCACATACTTGTGTAAATGTATGTTTAACTGTATGCTTAACAGCAGATATATGTGGATGTATGCATCCTTTCCTCTATTATATATTTATAGATTAAGTTAACGAAATTTTGTATTCAGGAAAGGAATTCAACTTGCACACGTTGGCGAATGTACGACCTTGAAAGAGACTGAGCAATGCCCAGAGGACTGTAGCAATGAGCCTGAAGAACCTGTTTGTGGTAGTGACGGAAACGTTTACCGGTAAGTACCGGGTATTATTCAAGATTTATTAAAAACCCAGGATTATCTCTAGGTCCTTTATTTTACAATCATCACTTGACAGTTCATTAAATTCTATTATTGTCTTAGAAGTATAAATTTGAAATTAAATAAGCTTGAATCAATTTATTCATGAGCTCACTAAGTATAATCAGAGTTAAATCATCGTTTAATTAGCTGTTACTCATTTAAATTGAGATCTTTTATTGATTAGAGTGTAATTAAAAAGAATTTACTCCTTGTTTATGATTTTAATCTTTTATTATATAAGATATGAATTCGTTGAAATGAATTATCATAATATAATAATTATAATTAACAATCTGAGAAACGAATTGACAGTTAAATTGTTTTTTTGAACGTATCTTGAATGTTAATTAGATCTCTGTGCCATTTACGACGGGATACTTGCGGCCAGAGGGTGGTTTCCGTGCCAGCTCAGCACTGCCGTACGACAGCCCTATGCAATCAGATATGCAGCGATGAGAGGCAGTTTGTCTGTGGTTCTGACAACAAGCTTTATCGCAATGAGTGCGAGATGAAGAGAGACAATTGCGGGTAAGAATTATAAAGATTGTAACATTCGCTTATGGTCTTATGAGTCATGACCCGTGACAAAAGATACGCGTGAGGAATATTTATTAAAAAGTTTACTATTTTATTTTTTAATATAGAAAACACGTGTACGTCGTTCCTATGAAGCGATGTGTCCAAGGATTTGTATTTCGTGGTTGCCAAAAAATCTGCCCACCCTACTACGACCCCGTCTGTGGTACAGACAGCATGACATACAGCAACGAATGCTTCCTGGAGATCGAGAACTGTCGCAGTCGAAGCCTCGTGACTAAATTGTATCATGGTATCTGCGGACAGCCCACGGAAGATCCGAAAAATTATTTATATTAAAATGAATAATTTATTATTTTGTTTTGATATTTTATTTTTGTTTGAGCTAAATTTATTATACTGTGATCGAGCAGTTAGACGAAATTGATTGATATTCTCACTTGTTAATTATTAATTACAATTTATTGATAAATTTAATTATATTCCTGTGATTAGAATCAAAAATTAAAAAAAAATATACTTATTTAATTTGATTGATAAATCTTAAATATACGATAAATCTTGCCAGATGGTAAATATTTAAATGTGCAGATTGATTAAGAGTTTATAAATTTTTCTATTTATAGTCAACAAATTGGCAAAATTATATTTGTGTAATATTTTTGATAAAAAATTTTCCTATTATATTTCTTTTTTGATACTAAAAGTTTTTGACAAACTGCACAAGTAGAAACTATTATTTATTGTAGTATTATAGTTTTAATCTGGATACTAACGAGTGTTCGGTTTTACGTGTATTTTAATTATTATTATTATTATTATTATTATTATTAATATCATATTTTATTGGTAATCATTTATTGATCATTGTCGAATTAATAATCATAGCAACGTTCATTAATCATTATATTATTGTAATAACATAGCTGAATTGCTAACGATTGTTTTACAAATGTACGAATTTTAATAGTTTGTGATTTATGTTCATATTCCTTCTATGTATTATTTTCATTACTACTTTCAATCATATTCCGTTATTTATTATTCCATATGTACTGTAAGAATTTATTTAGTTCTGTGTTTAACATTTGTATGAGCTTGTCATTTAAAGGATAATTTATACGCTCAACTACTCATGTATTAAAGAATTGATAAATAAAGTTTTTTTTTAAATAAAAACCGTATTAATTTCAATCATCAAGAATTATTCATTGCAATAGTTATGTAAAAAATATTTTTGTCAGACAAACTAACGAAGAAATTTTTAAAAGATTAAACAAATTAATTAATAATAATTTTTTATTAATGAATAAATATAATACAAACTTAGTAAAATTTATTATAATTATTACAGGTCATGAATTAACGTGTTCTAAAATGCCTTGTCTTACCAAAGGCTCACACTGCGCTCTGGGAAGCAAGTGATGAGTGTTTTCTTTCAGCATTATGACTTGGCCATCATCCAACTCGAATCTTCCATAATCAATTAGACATCTGACCTATAATTATTGACCCAGAATTAATGAACTGCTCAAAAAGTCAACATACTTGTTTCGTACATTAATTTTTTTTTAATTGTTTGACTATTTGTCTCGCCATGAACTTGTGAATTATTTTTACAGAGCAAATAATAAAATTTTAATTCTTAAAGGATAAATTCTTTTAGGTTGATGGTAAGAATGAATAGTTCATACGAACCTCAATAAACAATGATTTGGGTGGTACCATATCAACCGTAAGATTAAGACCTTGGTTATCTCCAATGGATCTCATGTAAGTGGCCAGAGATTTATTGTAAGCTTTGAACCACTCAGTTTCTAGGCTTAGCATATTAGTACTTATTTCTCGGGGTAAAATGCTACCAAATTCCCAACGTGCTTGTCTGAGTCTTCGCATTCGGTTGTAGACGTACGCTAGGAGACATCTTTTGTTACGATGTAAGGCTACGTGTCTGAGCTGTACTGACATGAAAGGTGATGTTGAATCATCTGACTCTGATACCGTCATATTTCTATAAATTAAAAATTAATTAATTATTGAAATAGTTGTCAGTAAATAAAACGGTTAATGTAATTGAATATAATTTACACATCCTCTAGATTGGCATTGTAAAGTGAGTGCATTTCATCCATGACTTTACGAACTGAATTTTCCTAAATGAATAATTGAAGAACTAGTTCATTAGTAAATTAACAAAAAATTATTTGAGAAAAAAACATGTGTAATTTAAAAGGTTATTTACTTACATTAAAAGGTTTTATATCTTCTGAAAGATCTAATTCACTAATAAGTTTTAATGCTTCTTTTCCAAACATTTTAGTCACAACACACTTATTACTTCGTATTTTATTGAATAATATACAATAATTAGCTGCGTTTGTTTATTGTTGTCTTATAGAACACAGGGTTGCCCGGCAAAAAACAGGTTGTTGTTATTTTGTGGGGATCAATCAACCGTAGATCAAAGTTGTGATCTTTATTACCGATATGAAATTGAAATAGGTGCGAGTGAATATACGTAAAAATAAGTCAACGGGATTTAAAATAAATCAAATTGATTAATAATGACATTAAATGACATAAAAGTTAGCCGTCACTTGATAATTTTTTAATTTTATTTAACAAGAAGATTTTTTCCAAAAAATTATTTTTAAAAAATTGCATTTTTAATTTTTTTTAATTTCTACCCGTCAATTATTTTATATTTTTTTTTTTGCAATAATTTATTTGTTATGAAAAATTTTAAAAATTATTAAATATCTGCTAAATTTATTATCATGAATAATTATGATGGATAAAAAATTTTCAACAAAAATAATTATTAATACACTGACCTTGATTTTGTCGAATTCTGATTTATTCTCTGTGTAATCTTAACCTTGAATCACTGGGTAAAAAAACTACACATTACCAAAATAAAATACCACGAGTCATTACATTTTTATTTATCCTTTCACTAGTTATTTACGAAAATTAATTAAAGAATTGAATAACATTGAACAATTGGATAATTAAATGAAACCGAACTCGGTGTGTTTAAAAAGACAACAAGATTCAAGTAAGTATCCAGCAGTAGTCGCGGCTTGGCTGGTAGTTGGCATCTGACCCGCCACCTACCGTTAGTCATGCGCACTAGCATTCTCCCGCGCGCATGCTGATTGGCTAGTTCATTATACTCTCCGTTGAATTCAAAATTTGAATTTGTAATGCGGTTTTCTTATTGGTCGAAAGAAAAGGTATTAGCCAATCAAGCTTTAGCTTTATGTATGCGGCTTCTAGAAGAGTCTCAACGCTATGATACCATTCTCTCACAAGTTGTCGTCGAGTAAACGTAGTGTCCGGAGGTTAAATGAATTATTTTCTGATAAAAAAAGTCATCACACCGAAATTAATCACCGGTTTAGTTGATATTACTTATATTATCGTATTGAACAAATTAATTGAATTTATTTTGATTTATTTTTTGCTAACTATCGAATTCATTTTTATTGCGCATGTCTGCATGTAAAATTGTCAGTCAGTTAAATATATTTTTTTCAGTAGTTAGATAATTTAAGAGTAAGTGAGTGAGTAAGTGATTCAGTATTTTGTAGTTGTTTATTGTCGATTAAAATGTCCAAGTGTAAATATAATATCCAATATTCAAGTCTTTATTCAAAATCGCTGGATGAAAAGAGCTACAACGTCAGCCATCTTGTGTGCTGGGCCGTAATCATCACTGCTGCCGCCAATTTAGCAAGCCATCGGCTGGTAAGTCTAATTTTATTTTCTTTCTACTTCATAAATATCAACATGTTGTTTTGGTTATGTACTATATACTGTAATACTGTCATGATGACAGTGTCATCACATATTTTTGTCATTATTAAATTATATCTATGTATTGTTATATGATATAAATATTTTACTACAAAAAGTTTAATGTTTACATTCGCGTATTTGTGAAAACAAAAATTAAATTTATGTTTATTATAATTTGAAAAATAAATATGAAAATTACTGACATCGTGTGGAAAATTTAAACTCAGCAATTTTTTTTTATATTTTGTTTGAAGAGTAATTAAATCTTAAAAATTTTGAAGTAAGTAAAACAAATCATTTAATAATGATTTATATATTCAAAAATTTAATATAATAATAATGACGATTGTTTTTTTTTTTTTTTCAGTCAGTTAAAATTTATTGCTCCTTTGGAGATCAAGGATTTGTATTTAATTTAGTAGCAGATGTCAGTTATTTTGATATTTTTTTTTCTAATAAATTTTAATTTTTAATTAAATTTATTTAAGACTTAGCAAAAAATAGATCAGTTAGATACTTATTAAATCAAAAGTAATATTATTTTTATCAATAATAATAATAATATCTGTTTATTAAAATCTCAATTTTAATAGCATTTAGAATACTTTGTTTTTAAATCAATTTTCAATTCAGGATATAGGCACAATATCTTTGGCATTGATCACGAAACATCATTACAAAGGTATTTGATTTCGTAAATACGAAAGAATGTCATCGGTTCCTTTGACCAATATAGCTTGGCGTGGTTGTTTGAAGCAATTCCCTGATAGCAGCAGAGTCCTGTAAAATTAAAATAATTAGAAGCGTTGAAAGAATCTAAACCAGCAGTTTTAAATACAGTAAATATATGCAAAGCTATGATTTGATAGCAATTATGGAACAATAAAATTCTTTACCACACTCGATGAGGTGACAACGGGATAGTGATTTGCACTGAGCGTAACAATTACAACATGCAATGATATGCAATGTTTGGGATCCAACATCATAACATTCATTCATATTACTGATGGCTTACATATCAACTATATAGGAGAATTAACAAATAAACAACTAAAATACCACACTTAAAAATAAACGAGTCTAAAATTCGTATAACATTTAATAATTAGCGTTTTTTAAATAATTCAATTGATTTTCACTTGAACAATAATCATGCACAATAATGAGCGAGAATTAAAATTTTTGTTGGTAAATTTTTACCTTATATTTGTTTGATTTCCCAGTTCGGGAGGTACATGTCCAATGTCATTATTAGACAGATCTAATTTTGCTAATCGTTTTAATTTAGCAAACGATGATGCGTCTATTTCTTTTACGCGGTTATCGTGAACAATTAGTATTTCCAAATGACTTATATTATAGATACATTCAGGTACAACCGTAAACCTAAAAATTAATTATTATTTTCAAGTAGAAAGATATTCAAAAAATAAATAATAATTGACCAAATATTTTTTTAATTTAAAAGTTAAAAATTATTTAATTACTTATTATGTGAAATATTTATTTCTCGTAAAAGTTCAAGCTTTCCAATGCTCTCGGGTAGATTTGTCAATTGATTTTTACTCAAATCCAAGTATCTCAAACGACAGCATAGCTCACCAATCCACTCGGGCAATGACGTCAACTGATTGCAGAATAATTTCAAATCTTCAATAGACTTTATTAAATTCAATTTATCCGGCAATTGTGTAAGTCGATTGCGACTTAAATCAACACACGTCACTTTAGCTTCACTTGCATCTTCCAAAACGATATCAGGTATTTGGTCAAGATTCTGAGCTGCCAAACTCAGTAGTTTCGTGTGCTTCATCATGTATCTAAAATTTTTTAATTTTTAATTTTATTTTGAATTCATACTTTGAATATTTATTGCTTTAATATTACTAACTTATCAGGGCCAGGAATCATAGCCGGACATGGTGATAATGATCGATTTAATTCAATAGACTCGGAGTCAAAGCCTTGCCTCAAGTGTCTTAAAATTCTTGGTGTACCGCATTGAATAATATCTCTTCTTACATTTTTTATTTTATTATTATCGATGATGAGATGCTTCAAATTCGGCATTACACATAGTGAATTCGATACGCTGTGGCAATAAACAAATTATGTAATGAGTAAATTTATTAGATTGAAATAATAAAAGTAAAGTAGACAAACATACAAAGTTAGTTTGTTGAAGGATAAGTCAAGTCGTTCTAAATTGAGTAGGGTAATGATGTCATCAGGGATTGTTTCTATTTTATTATTAGACATTACCAGGGATTTTAATTGTCCAATACCTTCTAAACATTCCATTTTTAATTCCTAGACAAATCAGCGACATGCAAAAATTATATATACCCTTAAATTATTTATATATTTTAAATCATTTGAAAATAAAAACATCCACTCTTATTTACGTACAGTGATTTGGTTGTTAGAAAGGTAGATTTCACGTAAAGCAGCACACCCAATCACATCAGGAAAGACAGATAAATGATTATCCTGTAGATTAAGAATCTCGAGTTTTCTCATTTCACCCAAAGGAGGAGTTACTTCCAAGTGATTAGAACTTGCATCAAATTTTTTTACAACTATCAAATAATTTTTTGTTAGTAGAGAAAGCAATAATTTTTAAGATAAAGTTGTTCCATAATTGTTTTTATAGTGTATTAAATAACTACTTGTTTGTTAGTATTTGAACTCTGAACAATAAAACACACCTCTCATACTCATAATATCCGGTGGTAATTCTATCAACAGATTGTGACTTAAATCAAGATTACATAGCCGTACCAGGTATCCCAATCCAACAGGTAGTTTTGCGATATTATTATATGACAGATTCTAATTAAAATAGTAACGATAATAATTATTTATCAGTTATCCTAATTACCATTATTTATTTTTGATGAATTAAATTTGAACTCACTAATGTCTCCAGCATAACAAGATCGCCAATTGATGGGTCTAACTCTTGAATATTATTGTGAGATAAATTTAAATGACGCAAATTCTCCAATGTAAATAAATTAGTATTTATTTTGTTTAAATTATTGTGAGATAAATTTAATTTTCTCAGCTTAGATAAAGTTTTTAATGCGTCAGGTAATTCTTCAATCAAATTATCGTGAAACTGTAATTAAAGTAATCGTGTTTAAAAGAGATAATAGTAGTAACTATAAATACTATAAAAAACCTTGAAGTCGTTAAATTAATGTCTGACATTGAAAGACTGTAATCACTGGCGTGGAAATACAAACAAAATTCACAGAATTTATTATAAATTTATGATATAAATTATTTACTTACGTCTAAATCAATAAGATCAGATAAATTTTGAATTTCTGGATCAATGGATGTTATACTATTTGAACAAAGGTTCAATGTTTTTAGCAGTTCTTGTTCCCACCAACGATCTCGGTCGTCATCGAAATCAAAATTCATATGCAGCTCTTCGATCTCTTCTTTTGTTAAGTCGTTTAACGTCCATACCCTTTTAGGCACTTGTGTACAAAAAATTTATTTATGTAAATAATGAATAAATGTTAGATAAAAATTACTGAAAATGATTGTAAAAAGCATTCACCTGTAGCTAATCCCCTTGAAGATAAATTAAGCTCGCCAGTTTTCCTCGCAGTGATAATAATCCGTTCAGACAATTCATTATTGTCGTCTTTCTTTGTTCTCGGCTTGAAAACAGCTAGATGGTTTACAAACTTCTTACGTTTATCGACATTTATTTTACGTTTTTCAACACTCATTTTTGTTTTTATTGCACTCGTCACTGTCAACTTATTTGTGATACTGATACTACAAGCTTTGCAATCACTTTAATACGCAATGAGCTGTGTGAACTACTGTCCATGACAATCGTAGATAGTTTGAGTAACTAACTCCGCCCGTGAACTTGGGTTCTAAATAAATAATACTAACGTAAGGTGCGGGAAGACATAGTAGACTGAGTGACGACGTAAGTTAATCAATACATGTTTCATAATATGTTACGTTACTCTTACTACGTGTAAATTTATTTTGCTTTGTTTGTACTGTCTGTCGGCATATTCCCTCTAAAACAAATTTAATTACATTTAATTGTATAGTTATAAAAACATTTCAATTTTGAAAAAATATTACGAGTCATTTCCAAGTTATTGATTGGTTTCATATTGAAGACTCAATTACTTGATTTAAAAAAAGAACATACTGAGGATTTCTACTGTTGATAATAGCGTTTTCTTCATCAATTTACTGAAGAGTAACATATGTAGGACAAATCGAGAAGTATATTAACAAATATTGTTTAAAATAATATCTAATTAAACAACTTCTGATTTTTCATTCATCTCAATTAATTATGAGTTTTAAAATTAAATTTACTCATTTAGTTATAATTTTTTTCATCAACTTAAAAACTCAATTTAATTATAAAAAATCCATACAATGAAGAATTTTTATTAATTTAAACGCTTGTCACAATTTACGTTTATTTATAATTGATTGTATGTTGAATATTTAATTTTTATGAAAGCTTTATTTCATTAGAACAATAGAATTTATTAAAAAGTCAGTTTGGTCTGACTACCATGAAGAAATTTAAACAGCAAAACAAGATAAAAAAGTTTAAAGAACGATAATAATTGGTAAAAGTTAAGTGCAAAGGTATGATGACGAAGAAATGGAAGGAAAAGTGACTTTGCGTGATAGCTCATGCTACTTTCGCGTGTCGAATTCTGATTTGCTTTGTTGAATCAAGTATATACCGTAGCCCTATCGCGTTTAAAAGCAAATGGGTGGTTGCATTTTTGTATTTTCTTATATATCTATACATAAATCTAGGGGCTCCAACTATTCTTTCATTATGAACCCCTTCCCGTTCCCCTACCCGACGATAAAATTGCTGATGCAATTTGAATCCACTATGTAATATTGTAAGTTAACCACCAGCACTGCTATATCTATTAATTGACTTTTTAACACGATAAAACGATTGATGGAAGGTACGATGATGTTGCTTCTTTGGTTAATTTAAAAATTAAACTATTTCTTTGTATTGTTGCGACTTAATAACATTCGGGCGTTGTAATTTATTTGAGCACTTAGTCATAACTTTTTTGGCCGATCCTTATTTTTTCGACCTTCTTGGCTCGTTCCTTGAAATATTCAACGACTTAAAGGTAACGACTTAACGACTATACCAATTTAGATATTGAAATATATATGAGTTGTGGGTAATTTATCAAGCCATTTAACATGTCAAAACAGGAACTACTGAGACATTGGCAAATTGAACACCTTGCGCCCACAAAAGACATTTGTAGCAGATTTACATTGCGATAGTAGTTAAATTAGTTTCATCAACTTTTTCTTCACTGGTTAGATCTGAAATCGCGTGGTCGTGATTTAGACTCATTCAAAATTACTTCGCTTCATGTATATGTTTATGTATAAGTATAATATATGTATATTCATACACCTGTGAGTTTGTATGTGTATATTTATTCATGTGGGTAAATATATATATATATATATATATATATATATATATATATATATATATATATATAAATGAAAAATACCAAGAGAAAATTTTTGTAGAACGTGACTCTAATGGTGGCTTTCGTGCATTTGGGCAACCCTTATTTTCTTTATCCACGAAGACGTACAAAAGCAGAATGAGAATTGACGTGGTGCTTCATTCTCGTTGGGCCGATGAACTGACATCTGCGTTTCCCACAAGACTCTATATATATGTAAACGCAAATCAGTTCTCTCATACAAATATATATGAATAAACACATATATTTGTATGACTTTATTTTAGTTTATTATCTTATATGTTCTCTATTAAATTTTAATTTCCTCTTCATAGCTTATTCATATTATTTTTCTCATACGATTTTTATTTATACTGGACGAAATTTATATGGCTGTCCTAGTTTTGAATATTGGAATTTGAATACTTCCTTAGGGACACTGAGACGACCGGCGTGTGCTTTGCTCTGATTCCTTATTACGTTTTCATTTCTTTACGGCGGTAAGAAACGATATTTTTTAAAGTTTCTTTGAATTATTATTTGTTGAACTATAAATGTCATGAGATTCTTGTGAATATAAACAACTCTTGAAAATTTATATATATATTTTTTTTCTAAGTCATTTATTTCAGTCGGAGTAGTAAATATTGAATTTAAATGTCCACACAATATGTACAATCGCGGTTACCAATTTCGTCAGGAATATTAAATTTACTTTATTCAATTACGTCGGCATGTATTTTTGGGTTTTTCATTTTTAATTATAGTTGCGATATCGAATTAAGAGTAGGTCATCAGACTATTGCATTTGTATATTAAGAACGTGAGATGGATTATGTTTAGTTATAGTTTATAAGCAAGACGGTTTATTTATAGACCTGTATGCATAATTATTGGCTTACAATCTATTTTCACATCAGCTTGAACACCATCAATAATACTGCTTTTAATCGATATCTTGACAATTAAATATCAGACAGCTGTCTTAAAATTGGTAGAATCAAAATTACGTTAGCCATTACCATTATAAGCAATTTCCCGTACTTATTAATTCTCCCGAGCAAACTGGTTAATTAGCGCTCCCTGTAATCTCAACATTCTGATGTTCCATCCACTGTAATTTAATCTTTTAATTCATTATTCGATAAATTCTAAGAATTGAATACTTAATTTGATCGTTAAATGATTAAAGATTAAACTTGGATATTTAAACCAACAAAATAGTTATCTTCATTCATTATTTATTCTCATTGAACTAAATGTAATTTGAAGAGATAAATTCTAAAATTTAACTCGATTCATCGTTTGAGTCATTATGCAAACACGTGTCGCGATGTGCATATGCGTGGGTAAATATGACTCGAGTATTACGTGGGGGATTTGGCAGACGTTATTCTTTGTGTTCAATGACGTAAAGCTACTCGCAGATTTAGAAAAGAAATCTTCGATAGGGTAAAGGATGCAGTGTAGCATAAGACTTATAATCACGCCTACGTGTCAATTTTTCTGCATGCTGTGACTGCATTGGTACAGATCAGGGACACGTGCTATCTTGTCTTACGTAGGCAATCCCTTCTCGTGACGTATACCCTTTCGATTCACTTGGCAATTTAATTGTTGGAGTTTGGGAACATTTTTTATTTTAACTCTTCTTTCCTAACTGAAGCTATTAAAAATATCGAATTTCCAAAACAATAACTGTTCAATAACTACTTTAGCAATATCCACTTTACAATATTTCTATCTGATTGTTTTGTAAATTGTAGAAAGTCACAGAAATTGTTAAGGAATTATTGATTCGTTATTGATGAAACAGAAATTAGATTCAAGTCTCTGAATATACTAATACTGTACAGCAGCAGCACTGCAGTATTAGCAGCAGTAGTATGTTTATACAACTGTTTTTTCTCTCTTTTCATTGAACGTTACTCTATCCAAGATTATATTCAAACTGATTCAGAGAGTGGTGTACACTCTGAACCCGTGGGATATCGAAATAAACCAGTTTTAGATATTCCAATAGATTCGGTGAGTGACGTATACACCCACAGGTGAATACTCTCTGTGTGACAAGAAGAGAAGATTGGATATGGCAATACGAATTGAACAGTTGAAATAGTATACATCTATACACGTTATTTGTATTTGAATGTTCATATTTGTTGAGTATGTACACCTATAACACACACAATATATTTCTGGTTCAATTTTTTCTTTTGATGGTTTTAGCGTATCAGCTTGATATGGTTATAGCTAAGCCAGAAAATTGTGCTCATTCTAAAGAATTATTATGATTCAATGTAAATAGTAAAAATATAAAATGGTAAATGTTGAATTATTTATTTATTCGGTATACACAAACTATATTTATATATTTCTATTAAAAAGTATTAAAATTAATCATTTTTATTATTTACTAATGTTAGTTATTTTTATATTCATCCGAGAGAAATTAAAAATTTCATTTCGTAACGACGTAGAATAAGATAAATATATAGTCATTCCTTTTTATTTTTTTGTCGGTCTCGGTGACATTTTACCGGAGGGTTGAAATGCGACATTTACACACGCTCGCTTTTACTTTTTTTATTTTTATGAATGTACTTTTCCGCTACAATAGCATACGCAGGATGTTTGCAGGATAGAATATACGCATTTTTTTTTATTATCATTGTTTTGTTTTCTCTTTTCTAAATTCATTAGTATTAAAAATTACAATAATATATTAAAGAGTGAATAGTTTATACATTTCAATTACTCTAAATTTATCATAATAACTAATTTGTACTTCATTGTATAAAAATTATTAATAACCACTGTTAAAATAGTATCTTAAGATTCTTATTTAAGCTATCGATTTTCGTTATTAGGTATTAAAGTCATTTGTGATTTAGAACATTAAAAGTAACTTTTGCTTAAAGGATCATGAATATATTTTATGGTATTATTAATGATTTCTCATATATTGAGATTCACTAAATTAAATATTAAAAACAACCGTCGATATCAGCCTTGATGAGTTTCGCCTTTGAATCATGAATAATTTGTATTAGTTAATTGCTATCGTTTTCAAAATATAAAAGCTATATTTGATGTGATGAGCTTTTATTGTAATAGATGTTGAATATTTAAAAATATTGCTTTCTGAACTTTTTTAATATCTTATAATAATTTTTAATTTATAATTTCTAACAATAAATTAGTTTTGTATTTTTATTTTTATATAATAAGATTTATAATTGAATTCCTGTATATTCCATTTTTCATTTGCACGGTTCATCAAGTGTCATATCCACAACATAAATTACCGTGTTTATAATTATCTGAATAAATAAATAAGTGAAAATTAAATAATGGAAAATACAGAAATGAACATGAATAACAAGATATTTATTCATTAAAATGTTACAATCTTTACGTAAGATCGTAAATCATAATAAAATAACAATTATTAGATGTTTATTTTCAAAAACAAACTGTTTGTTTGATCAAAAATACAATTACAATATTTATTCCCGATTATTTTAAAACGATTTTCAGATGCGAATTTTTTTTAAGAAAACAATTTATCTTCCCCTGCGTAATAATGCATAAAAATGTATGTATGTATTTGTATGTGTATGATAAGCTATGGATTCATATATATAAATTTTACGAGTCAGGGTTTATTTCTGTTCGGACGGTCACGTAAGCATTTCGTAAGCTAAAACGCTAAAGTGGTAAAACTTAGTTTGCTTCTCAAGATTGGCAAGTTTCATGTTTTCTCGTTCGGTTGCTCAACTTAACTTCCGCCACTACGGTATGGTAATAAATCAACGGTATTTCCATGGTGGAAATGTTATTCCCCGTTGGCGTTGTACAGCTTCAGGGCCAGTTGACGTGTTGGTAACATTTGCGCACAATAATAATGAACAATGGACTTTGGTAAATGAAAATGCAAATCGAGTGGTGTTGGTGGTGGTTAGGTGATGGTGGTAGGTTTATGACTTAGAACTACAACCACATATGTATATCTATATATTACTACGTAGTTGGCAGTTGGCTGTTATGTGCTCAGGGCGTACTATTGTCACCTGGTGATTCGTGACTTGCAAGACAGTAACTGACAGTATGTATTAATATATATACACGTGTGGAAGAATTAATAGACACTTTGAGAGATATGTATTACTGTGGATTATGTCTTCAGTCTTGAATATTACACTCCAACATATTGAGGTTGCTCTGACAGTAATCTTCTAAGATAATAAAATTCTGATGATAATAGAGTAAAAATAATGATAGGTCATAATGCTAATACTGATAGCCTCATTATCAGCATCTTTAAACAACAACATAGCAATTGAATTGCTTAAAGTAAAGCATTGCGGAAAAGTATCTATATTTTGTCTGGAGTACTTAGAATTGAAGGTTGATTATTTGAAATAGTTGTAAGTTTAATTCAATCTAAATGCTCCTCGGTTTTAACTTTCGGGTCTTGTGACATAAACTTTCGTCTTAGTCATGCCTTTGAAATGGTATAACATTTAATCACTCCAGTGAACACGGCACTGTGTCTCTCTTTGGATCTCTTCAGTGACTCAGTACTTCCAGTGGTTTAATCAATATCAAACTGGACGTATCTTGTAATTTATTTTATCTATTTGCAATTCACTACTTTTGCATCAATAGTAATCACTGCTCGTGTTTCCATCGTCATTTATAAATGAATTTACACCGTGAAATTCTTGTCTTCACTTTGATATTGAGTAAGTAAAGATATCTTCAGTTGATAATTATTCAAAGGAAACTTCATTAATTAACTTTTTGTTTTCTTTTAATATTTTAATTCATGTTAAACTTTGTAGCCATCTTTGCTTTGATACAGTTTGCACAATCCAATTTGTGTCACTGCAGTCACTGCGATGATGATACTAAACTTCTGGATACCAAAGAAAATAATTTAGCTGAGAATGGTGATGATAATGATAATAACGATAGAAATGAAACCGACGGTATGGACGATGAAGATGAAACGACCATGGACTATCAATTACTACTAAAAGAAGATTTCGATGGCGATGGAATTCTCACTATTTGCGCTCGAGATCGTGACCATGAGGATCGATCTTTCCCAAGTATTTGCCATATGTTGTGTCACAATGCTTGCACTGAATTTAACAGTAAAGAAAATAAAGAAAATAATGGAACGTACGACGTGATGGCGTACAGAACAAGTAAGCAATGACGATCGTTTATCAGTTTCTATTTTCACGTCGAGCATACTACGTTTTCATAAATATCTCTCTATTTATGTTCATCTTTGTATGTTTTATTATTTATTGTTTTTATTTTTTTTTGTTTTTACAGATTATTATAAACTACACGATGGTCCTTGTCGTAGATATTACACGTGATCAACAATACTGTAAAAAAATGTATCGACTTACAGACTGCTGAAGTTTTTGAAATGTAATCAACTGAACAAAAATATCCAATATTATTAAAAAATTTATAAATGAAAAGACTGAGTTCAATATTATTAACAGTATACTTAAAAATTATATTGAATTCTTTTACTTTTATGATTAATACATATTTCCAATATTTATTTTAAGTAATGCAGTATATAAATCATATACATTGACTCGACGGTGATATGAGTCGCTTACTATAAAATATTATGAATCATTAAAATTAAAATGGCTAACTCGGAAATTCTTAAAAATTTATACTTTGTAAAGATAAATTATTCAAATATCACTCCAATATTTAAAAATAATAATAATACTTCGACTTCAACTTGCTTCCAATTAATTAATTATTCGTTACTCACATATATTACGAGGATTGACGGGCGAAATTCCGGTATTAATATAGATTGATACACATTTAAATGTCTTTTTTATTATACATAAAATAAAAATCGTATCGTTTTTCTCTGGTTTCTTTCATTTCTAATGAAAAAATAACTTTGAGCCGGCTCCATAACATATCGTGTGATCGTGTAATATTTAAAAAGATATCACTTTTTTCTAGTTTAGATTTATTCGCATCAGTCGAGTGATAAATTCTCTTCATGTACTCTATTTACATAAAAATATCTAATATTTCCAGTAAAAGCACATATTTATTGCACTTTTTGTACATGAATTTCATCTTTACATGGCCTACGGATGTTTCAATTAAAAATTCGTCAGTGTCTCTATAACAATAAAAATAATTATTAGTCAACATTGATATTAAAAGATTAAATGTGAAGATGTCAATACTTATAAATTTGTTATTGGTTATCCGACAGTCTCGAAACTTTTTGATTAATATGTTTATTATCAATGTTTAAATTACTTTATTATTCACGATAACAAAAGAGAATCTGAATTTTCAAACTCAGTGATGATAGTAATTGAATAAAAGTCAATATTAATACTTGAAAAGTTAATACTTGTTTAATAGAATGATGGGTTTAATCTCATAAATGCACAGTTTACCACATGTCGTGCATAGTTTTACGTGTAAATTAAGAATACGTTGCTCATTAGAGTTCAATCACATTAGTTGTATGAACTTGAGAGTACAGACTGGTAAAGGTTTTGTCGACGCTTCCAATCACAATTCTCATTTACACCGGCACATCTTATGTAGTAGTCGATTTGGTGGTTTGAAAATGGGTGGGAAAATCGTTTTAACTAAATGAAGTTGAATCTCATCAGCTGTTAATAATGTCTCAATTTCTAATTAGGTGATATAAAGAAATACGTGAGAATTGGTCGTTTTCTTTTCCATCGTTTGGTTAGTCTAGTCGTGGTTTTTTTCTTCGGAAAGTACAAGTCTGCTCTATACATATATACAGAAGTGTAAATATGAGGGTAGTATAGTGGGTTTCTGGTGGTACTTAGTAAAAGAGGATAAAATATAGAAATAAAAAAAATTAAAGTTAGAGCAAGACAGCGACTGAGAGAAAAGTGAGAGTGATAGTGAGAAAAGAAGATGGTAAAAGAAAAAAATTAACCAGATAGTGAGTCTTCGCAAATTGAGTTGGACGATGCTGGAATTTAAACTGGAGTTTAGCAAGTCAAAGTGTCTAATGTACTAGCACTAGGTTCTTCAGTTTAATTATTGTGATCTTCAATCGATATTACGTATTCTACAGATTATAATATAATAACAATATTATGATTGTAATTATTTTCGAGTATTTTTCATAGGATAAATTATTTTAGTATTGAGATAATTTTTTTATTTTTGTACACGTGGAAATTTTTAAACATAGTGATTCTATTCAAATTGAGGTTAATTAAATTCAACATTATAGATCTACATTAAAAATTTTTTTTTTATTATTTTTATTAACTTGGATCTATTTTTGAAGCAATACGAGTTATAATATAAATTAAATTTGTTCTTAATTCTAATTCTCTTCTGAAATGGCATAGTCCTTTTTATAATATAATAAATAATTCATCCTTATTCGGCGGTTCATCTCAGTCAAATTTAAACTTACAATCAGTTAGCAATTCAAAAATAAAGACAATCCTCATCATCATTTAATTTTTTAGCGAGTAGATATATTTTGAACCATACATATGCATGCATATTTTTAATATTATATTAAGAAACTTTATTTCAGTTATATCGAGAAGAATTCTAATTTTTATCGTTACTCTGGGATTATATTATATCATAATTTCACATTCTCAATATTAAAATAGTTTTTTATTTAAGTACTCTCTTACAATTTCTATACAAATAATACATCGTTTCATTGTCCAATAATAAACTTGCGTATTGATTTGTTTCTTTGAAATTATTAATAAATGTCCGTAGTTCTATCCTTGTTTATTTATGCAGAATTTTAGGAGATCCATTTGGGTATATTACCTTTAGATTTTGTTATCAATAAATAATATCTTACTGATAAATAATCAGTCTAGTAAAGGTAGTCTTGAATTAGTTATCAAGTTTTACTATCTAAAAAAATTCAACTATTTACGATTTCTCAAACCTCAATAAAATAAAATATGATATAAGAACTATTTTTCTATTTACGGAAAAGTATCAAGTCATGTTTCTTTTTTCAAAGTAATGGGCAATAATAGTGGTCAGATTAATTTTAAATGACAAGAAAAAGAAAAACAAAAGAGAAAAAAGTATCAATTGAGTTTCTTTAATTGACATTGTTTGGAGAAGATTTGAGGTTACACGATCGACACTCGTACTTAACTGGCTTCATTTATTCTTGCTTTACACGACTCATGTGTCGTATTTCCCTGTCTCTGCGCCAGGACAGCTGCCATTTGTCTGGCTTGCTAAGTAACTAATTACAAGACTCGAAAACCGCAACAGAAGATCACGAAACACCGTGTCTTCTTTATACATACAATATTTATGTTTTACTCTTAATAAATAGTATGCTTAAAAATTCATCCCTTTAACTAACCGAAACATTTCAATTATCCAGTCAATTATTTCAAAATAATTACAGTAAATCTCAGATTTTTTTTTTTAATTGTTTAATTATGTCCTATTATAGTATCAATTATATCATTAACCGCTGACTTGTAAATGAAATAATTATTCAACAGCTTCAAACTTTATCAGTACTCTTTTAAAAGGAATCAGTGGAATTTCACTGGTTCACCAGTGGACGTTCACTGATTCCAACCAGTGGTGCAATTTCACTGGTGAATCAGTGAAATCCACTGATTCAATCAGTGAACAAAATATCTGCGCGTATGCGCGCTAGTATCTCCACTGGTTGAATCAGTGAAATCCACTGATTCGCCAGTGACATTGCATTCACTGGTTGGAATCAGTGAACTTCCACTGGTGAACCAGTAAAATTCCACTGATTTCTTTTAAGAGAGTACGATTCGAATTACCCTTATCGATTTCATGGTAATTTTTGCGGATAGCAAATGTCAGAGTGTAGCTCATATAAAAATTATAAATACCTAAGCGAGAAATAACTATCAATCCACTCTCATTCTTTCTTTCTTTAGTTTTTTTTGCTCGATTATACCGTGATAACGTCATTTATGGCGAGGTCATCAGGCGTGAATACGCCTTCGCACGACACGTGCGATAAATCTTTCCCACCCGATCCTCTCAGTGACGACTTGAGACGATACCGATGAGAAGCCTCGTCCTCCTGCTCGCTTACAGAAGAGTGACATGAAGAAGCTGGTTGCCCTCCACACAACTTATACATGCCGACAACCTCTTGTGTATATAAGGGATGCAGGTCGTGTTCAGTCAGCCGTGCTCTCGGCAATCCACTGGGTGGAAATAAAAAAAAAAGAAAGTAGAAAATCGAGGAGAGTAAATGTAGAGCCTACGCTGTCGCTCAGCTTATATTATTCTCCAGGCTTTTTCTACTTAACCTAGAACCATATGACTGACGATGGTAATGACTTATCCAGTAAAGAGGGGGTCTAATTCTAGTCTAACGATCAAATTAGTATCGCATCTATTCTTTTTTACCCTTTACAATCAGATACTTTGAATTTAACTTATTTTTCAATAGTCATTAATTATTTTTACAAGAAATCAATTTAATAATTTGTACATTTAAAATCAATAGAATAAAAAAAATGTTATGTAAAAAATATTAATTTAGGGTAATTAATTAATTTTACATTTAAAATATTTAATGTGTTTAAGTATTTGGTCCTAGCGTGTTAGGCTAATAGACCGGGAATTTCCGAGTTTTAGTTTATTGAGAATGATAGGTTTGTTTGAATAAATTGATGTAGTTTAATAATTTTAATACATATATTGTTTAAATCCAAAATTAATATCATTAGTTAATTTACAATAGTTACAATTATTACACAGTGATTGAAGTTAACTTTTCTTTCATATAACGATTTTACAATATTACCAAATTCACAAATATTAATAATTCACAAATATTAATAATTTAAAATATACCTGATAAAAAATTGATGAACCTTGTTGATTTAATTTATTTCAGTTGGTTTCACTTTACGATTTTACTTTACCTTTACAAATGTTTTACTTTTTATTATACAATAGATTTACACGTGGTCTATTGAGACTTATTTAAACTATGTACGATGTTAACACTAGGACGTCAGGACAACGAGAGAGATTTTTTGGTGACAATTGCAAGGTGTCGAATTTTAGGGCGTTACTAATTTCCACTTTGGGGGAAATAAATGACCAATTATTTGTCTATTTTCTTGGGCCCTTACCCTCTCTCTTAAATTTGTCTAAAAATGTTGCATGTCCCTCTACTTGGGTCAGAGTGCAACATGCTTTCTCACTTACTCTTATGTTCTATTATTCATCTATGTGTTTGTGTTTACGTAAGCGCATTTACGCATAGACAAAGATATACATTTGTACTGTCTACATTAATTTATTTATTAAAATCATATGAATAAATATGTAC